AACATGTGCTGTTGCTTCATCGATAAGTAAAATCTTACTCGGCTTGAGAATTGCTCTGGCAATGCACATCAACTGACATTCACCAACGCTAAAATTACTTCCATATTCTGCTATTGGTGTGTTCAATTGATCTTTTAAACTGAGAATCTTGGTTTTTAATTGAACTGCTTCTAATGCGTCCCAAACTTGTCTATCCGTATAATGATGAAATGGATCTAAGTTATATCGAAGTGTATTACTAAATAAGACGGGTGATTGAGGAATGATATTTAAATTGGACCGTAAATGATTCAAACTAATTTTACTAATATCGATTCCATCAATCAGTATTTGACCATTCGTTGTAGCTTTATCAGTTAATCGAAGGAGTGCTTGAAAAATAGACGATTTTCCAGCACCTGTACGTCCAATAATACCAATTTTACTACGCGGTTCTATTCGTAAACTGATACCTTTCAATACTGGTTCGAGTTCTGGACGATAACGTAATTGAAAATCATTGAATTCAATTCTACCTTCCGTTGGCCAGTTCGATGGTGGTACGAATTCTTCTTGATAAAAACCTGGTTCTGGTGGTGTGTGAGAGTATTCATCGATTCTCTCAGCACTGATCATATAGTTTTCAGTTTCAGCTGATTGACGCACTCCCCATTGAAAGAGTTCCGACAGATTGATAACGTACACTAAACCCAATGCAATTGCTGAAGGATCGAGATTCTGACGTAAGATAACAGATAAAATGGCAGTCAGAAATGTTAAACAACAAGTCAACAAGTCTAATCGTAAACCGAACCATCGACTGGAACAAATGAATATGAATACTGCACGCGTATTGGTATTAATTTTGTCCATAAATGAATTGAGAAAGTCATCTTGTACTTTGAATGCTCGAATCGTCATCAGTCCACTCAGTGATGACGAGAACAACGCATAGATAGGACTTCGACTAACACTATCCAATCGTTTCACTTCTCGACTTATTCTCAGATAAGTTCTTCTCAACCAAAGAAATGTTGGAATAAGGATGATCAAGATGAACAACACCCAAGGATTTGTCATTCCAATAATCACCATACTACCTAACACCATGATCAGTGATTGCATAGCATCTAAAAATGTCACTGGTAATAATTCATCGAGAACTTGTTGATCTTTACTAAATCGATTTAAGACACGACCAACTGGATTACTCTCATAAAATCGCAATGAACTGTATAGAACACCTTTGAACATGCTATTATGAAATGCAGATGCGCCGCGTAATATAACATGGAAAAAATAATCAGCACGAATGATGGCAATGAGACATGTGCCAATAACTAGTCCCAAGTATGTGTATGGATATTGACTTTGACGTTGCTCGTCTTCCAATTTTGACGACCAAATACTTAGCCATTTATTCGTGGCATCGTAGAGACCTTGACCGGACAGCATTAAAACAAGTAATAATATCAATCCGAGCCGACCGTAACTAGAAGTGAATAGTTTTAGCCAAATATAGCCACTCACCCTTCCACTCACGGATGTTTCCTCGGCGACAATACTATTTTTATCGAGAGTTTCTATTCGTTTCGTAGGATTCTGATCGTTTCGTTGATTGGTGTTTCCTGTTTCGTTGGTATGTTTTTGTTCGTTTTCATAGGATTGTTTCACCGTATCGATTGTTAATAATTCATCAAATAAACCTTGTTTTTCTATTCGACCATGATCGAATAGGATACAATGATCGAATTCTGGTAAAAATCCTATATGGTGTGTGACTAACAAACGTGTTTTACCATTGAGAATACCTTCATTACTAATACATTGGTGAAAAATTTTCTGAGCAACTGTTGGATCCACGGCTGCTAGAGGATCATCAAATAAATAAATATCAGCATCGGTATATAAAGCTCGAGCCAATGAAACACGTGCTTTTTGTCCGCCACTTAAATTGACTCCTTTTTCTCCGATGATTGTTGCATCACCTGCTGAAAATGTTTGTAAATCTGGTACTAAACAACATACGTGTAAGACACGTTCATATTTTTCTTTTTCGAAAGGTTTACAAAATAAGATGTTATCACGAATGGTACCAGCAAATATCCATGGAGTTTGGGATACATAGGCGATTTGACCATAGATCTTACTAGAACCTTGAACTAGGGACATTTCACCGAGTAGTGCTGTTATAAGAGAGGATTTACCAGAACCGTTTGCTCCTATAATACCAACCAATGAACCACCATTGACATCGAGATCAATGTTCGTTAACTGAGCTGATTGAGTAGAATCCCATGTAAATGAAGCCTGGTTCATAACGATACTACCTGGTTGACGACGATGATAATCTCGTGGCTGCTCTTGTGATGTATTCACCCGAATCTGCTCGAATAAATTCATAAATTGATCGATGCGTCTGGACGCAATGAGACATTCACTAATGGTCTCGATAGCATAAGGAAAGCCAATCGTCAATGGATCTCTCATAATACCAAAAAAAGATAAAATGGTAAATATATTCGCATTCGATAATCGTTGACCCATTAACCAACTTCCACCAAAAGTAACCAATGAAACTAATGATAACGATAGGAAATGTATGGCCATATTAATCGCTCGAATTCGATTTGCTTTTCGAATGCTTCCAAATTCTCTTGTTCTCAAATTTTGAATAACATTCTCGAATGCTTCTTCCCATTGATACATTTTCACAATTTGACCACCGACTAAGATCTCATTGATCATCTTTACACGCTCATCCGACCACTGCATTGTATTCTTCCGATACATTTGAAATTTCCTACTGAAAAACAATTGTAATGGTATTTGTAGTAAAAATATCGCATAACCGAACAAAGTCGCCAGACCGATCTCATTCCAGATTAAACCAAAAATAACCAATGCTTGTAAGGGTCCTGCCCAGAGATGATGAATATACGTGCATAGAATATCAAATTTACTAACATCATTGGATATTAAATTAACCAATTGACCTGTTGTTGTTGTTTCACGAATAGCACCCGTTGGTAATGATAATAATCGTTTATAAATCAGAGTTGACAGTGAAATACGTATATGCATTCCGATTCGTGTTGTACGAAAGAAATATTGATGATGTAACAGTACGAGAATAGTTTTCACAAGTCCTAAACCAATGGCATATAAATAACTGACGTAAGAAGGTGCGTTAATATCCGTGATAGTCAGAACGATCCGTTTTAAAAGTAATGGTTGAGCAATTTTTGCAGCAAAATACGGAAATAGAATGAGACCTGTTCTGAAACTTTCTTTCCAAAAGGTTTTTGCAACGATTTTCCATGTATTCATGTGGTCATATGTTGCCCAGACTGTTTCGAGTTTGTTCAATAATCGACTGCATTCATCATTTGGTGATAAATCGAATAAATCATTATCTGTTAATTTATGTTTCGAACCCATATTTAACAAAGGATTTAACCACCACCAAAATGCCACATAAATCCATCGTAGATACGATGATTCAGCCCAATCTAATCTGCACGGCTTTCGTGGACTAGAGGAGATTGTTACAAAGAAATCCTTGGTATTCATTGTCGTTGTCGGATTCTCTGACATCAGTAGATTATTGTTATTCATATGTTTTTGTTTCTTAGCCATTAAGGATAATGTCAACACTATGGATTATAGTGTTGAGAGTGACTGATAAATATCTAGCAAGAAAATCTGTTCTATTGAAGAAAAAGAACCTATATATATATATATATATATAAACAGAGTTCGATTGACTACGAGCTACTAATACTTATACTAGTGACTTTTCTCTGACAAGTAAAATTTGAAAAGATAAGATAAGACATTTCGAAGAAGAATAAGAACAATTGATATGATAGAGAATTTCATAATGGAAATGAGTCACAAAAGAATTTCGAAGATTTTATATTCTATAGGACAAGAATCATTTGTGCGAACGAAGAGAATATAATACATTCTGTCAAATGGTTGATTTTCGATCGAATACAGTTCAATGAACACAAAGAATCAAGTGCAACATCATATTGAATAATCATATTTCAACTTGAAGAGATTTTTATTAATAAAATAAGTGTATAAAAAAAACACATATTTCAAATTTGTCCTCTACCTCCATCGATAAAAAGTTCGATACCTGTCACATAACTGCTATCATCCGAAGCAAGAAAAACTGCAGCTTTAGAAATTTCATCGACACTAGCAATTCGATTCATTGGCACAGTACCGATGAGATCATTGAGAAAAGTTGGCTTGACCACACCACTATTAGCTGCACTTTTTAACATGGTTGTCTCGACTGATCCAGGACTCAATGTATTGACTCGAATCTTGCGTACTTTTAAGTCGACACTCCAACATCGAGCAAACGAACGAATAGATGCCTTCGATGCACTGTAAATACTCGCTGCTGGATGACCTTTGACAGAAGAGACAGATCCCATGAGAATGATGGAGCCACCATCGACTAATAGTGGCAAAGCTTTCTGTGCGGTAAATAAGACGCCTTTCACATTGATGTTGAACGTGTTCTCAAATTGTTCTTCGGTAATTGAACCGAGCGGCGCGAGTAGACTAATACCTGCATTAGCAACAACAATGTCCAGACGACCTTTGTCTTTCTGAATGACAGCAAACAGATTGTCGAGATCGTCCATATTTGACACATCACCTTGCACTGCTGTGATATTAGCACTACCGATCTTTTTCATGGCTTCATCAAGCATTTGTTGTCGACGACCAGTAATAAACACATGTTCGGCACCTTCAGCGATGAATTGTTGTGCAATGGCGTAACCAATACCCTCGGAACCACCAGTAACAAGAGCGATTTTTCCATCAAGTTTACCCATATTTTTTGTTGTGCTAGTGATGTTTATTGTTGATTGTTTTTTGAGTTTCCTTTGCAAAATGACGAGTTTACATCCATAAATAAGACGCGTCTATGATATCATACATGCAGAAATGAATTATTTTCGGTGAATTTGTTTTTTCGTCAGTGATGAAAATTGCCGATTCTGTGTCAACTAATGAAGTCATAGTCCAAAACTAGGATGTGAGCGTGGGTAAATATCAGTAAGAAATCTACACCCACACCCACACTCTCATTTTCGTACAAGTATTTCATTATGAACTAATGATTTAAAATGAAATATCAATATACAAAATTAATCATATTTGACCATATTGGAATCGGCGAATATTGTCGCCCATGGGAAACAAGTTCGGCGAATATGGAATTTATCAATATAACGATGATTGCATGCGTCTCATGAGTGACGTGATAAGATTACATAGTAGTTTCTGACTTATGCAAAGAGAAAGAATATGCATACTACATCATCGATGACTTTCTCTTCCTAATCTGCAATCTTTGTTTTTTTCTGTTCTGCCAGCGTACTTTTCTTAATGCAAAAACGCTGATGAGTCATACAAAGTATCATACATTTCGGCGTTGCTTCAACGTCTCAACAGAGTAGATGTGGGTTTTAAAAGAACAATTTTCATTCCAAATAAACTTTCTGAACATAGAATTTTCTATCTGAATAAATGTTCACATTTGAGTCAGTAAAACTTATTTTGATTGGCCATACGGGAACACTGACATAAACTGAATAAAGAATGCACCTTTTAAATCTTGTTGAACTGCAGGTTCGATGGAATTTTTTTCAATGGAGACTTCCTGAATTTCACTATTTAGAAATCGATTCGAATCTATGATTGGCAGAGAGTGAAATTCTACTTTGTCTCAATCATATGGTACTTCTATTGCGAACCAACGGGATATTCTAGTGAATGTAAGACTGAGGAAATCTCAAAAACAAAATATCATGTATTTTTGGTTTCTTCATATAATATTATTAGATATAATAAAACGATAAACTTCAAAACACCAGAGAGAAACGATTGATTTAAATCAAGTTAAATTCGTAGGAAAGCCTTCATCAATAATGAGAAAGCCATCGGTTGTTGACTGTCAATAAAATAAGAAGCAGAAGTTTATGCCATTTTTTTGCTGAGAACTTTCTCCGTCTTTCTTAACCAACGAACACTATGCTAACATTAATTTCGATACATATTCGAACGAACCACGAAGTTGATCTCTGCAAACAATGTCTTATGTTCACCTACACTGTAAAAAAAATCGATTTAACAATATACCGCTGGGCTCAAAAAACTGTTTAAAAACCTCTCGAAGGGTTTATGGCGATGTAATATACCTCGCAATGGTTTATGAACTCCAGGGTTTATGGCGGTGAGAGTATAGGGAAATAGAAAGGATATATGACGCATAATTAGGGGTTTATTATTCAAAATTTACAGCAAAACGATTTATTATTCCACTCATTTGAACACGTCATTGTACCTGAGAGTGTGGGTGTGGGTGTGTGGGGTGTGGGTGTGGTATGGGTGTGGGTGTGGGGTGTGGGTGTGGGTGTGGGTGTGGGGTGTGGGTGTGGGTGTGGGGTGTGGGTGTAGGTGTGGATTATCTCTTGACCCACACCCACACCCACACCCNGAATTTGTGTCTCTGGAACGCGTTGCCTATCGACCGAAATGCGTTCGACATCATTTTACTTCGGAAACGCTTCGAAACGCAATCTCTGAAAAACGCGTTTCAGATCGTTTCAAAAAACGACAGCAGCAAAACGCATTCTATCGAAGTAAGAATGCTGTGAAACGCGTCCTGTATTGAAAAAACGTTGCGAAACGCATGCTGCAATCTCAGAAACGCGTTACGCAGTCCGTTTCCTTGAATATTTTACTCCATGGGATGCACATGGTAATGATGATCATGAAGTTTTTCAACCGATTTTGAGAAAACGAAATATAAAAGTATATCATATTTGTCGAAAACAAGGCTTAGCAAAAATTTAAACAGATTTTTAAATTTAAAAGTACTATTTACTGTACTGTAAGTTGGATCATATGAACTTCATGCTACCTATTTTCTAAAATACCTGGATTTGTGTTCAATCATAGAGATTAAAAATAATACTTTATTTTCTACTCTTCTTGGAGACAAGAAAAGCATGTCATATACTACTTTGTGCACTAAAATGAAATGATTCGCATGTACAAAAAGTAGGCTTGTCTCCTTTTGCTTTGCATTGATTGAAATATATCCGGTAATAGATATTTAGTACGAGTCCTCATGATATGACAAACTATCTAATTTAAAAAATAGTTTTGAAGGTAAAATCCTATTCTTAACTATTTACGTAATTGTGTTGCCATGAAATAGTCGCTGAATTGCGATTAACCGCAGGTTTTTCTAATATGACAATTAGTCATTTCAGACTGAGTCAATTTTCACGACATGGGTTATTTTCAAGAATAGAAAAGATGTATATAGATTATAATTATTATGAATGACATGGATTTTGTCAGTATTGATAATTAAATCAGTTTTATAAAAGACTTGATTAAAATGTTATTGGCATTATGTTTCAATCGATCGTGATATATTTCAGAGATATTTATCACGACGGAAAATCTGCCGCTGCCACAGTCAACTATAAAAAAACGTTTATGCCTGCTGCGATGATATTGAAAAAAAAATGTTTCAAATTGCAGTGCTGTGATTCTATTCAATTAGAACTATTGTTACTAATCCATGGAATTCATCGAATCTCAGAATCAGATTGCTGTTTTTCTTGACCGATAGTTAAGATTCTTGCGTGATAAAACAGATGTTGACTTTCTGGCAAGACCAATTTAGACAGAATCTTAGTTGATGAGACAAAAAGTATCTTATCAGTAAGATTCATATGCTTCTTCTTGATTTTTTTTTGTTTTCTTATAGACTTGCCTAATTCTTGTGATCTAATTTTAGCCTTTATTATCTATCAACAAGACTATTTGCTTTTGTGCTGCTCGATTTTATGTTTAGATTTTAACAAAAAAGACAGTAAATAAAATAACTGAAAAAAAGATTACATAGAATTTTTTATGTGTTTCCAATAAAAATGCATATATGTTATTATGATTCTTTTTCCAGAAAATTTTAAATCTCGTTACTAACAATGGTCTCATAGAAGGACTGAGGGAATTGAGTTCCCCCTCACCGAAGATCCTGGCGCTGCCGCTAAGGTTACCAAATATTTTTTTTATCCGACATGTTCCCTTATCTGATATTGATATGCAAAATTCATACATTGTTTGAGATGAATATCATTTATTCATGAAATTGAACACAATAATAATTACTATCTATTTCAAAATGGTACAAAGATATAGTAACGAACGTTACGAAAAACTAATCCTTTTTCTTCCACCTTTATTTTTCTTCGTACAGCAAAATATTATTCACAGCCGCGACGTGGAAAAAACCAAGTATAAGATGGTGTGTCACGCATATGTGCAGACAAGGTAGACGAAGGAACGATTGAAGAAAATGATAAAATGTATCATTCGATTCGTCTACCTATAAACGAAAAAGATTTATCATATAATTGCACGTGATTTGCAGCGATTATCAAACGAATATCATTTTAGCTGATCAAATAAGCAATTCGATTGCATAATAACATAGAAGAAATGTCTTCTTTATCATTGACTCAACCACTTTATGCAGATCCTATTGTAGTTTTATCTTCTCCGGATATTAATCCTCCAGTTAATACGGTTATAAATCCAGTTTTGCCCCAAACTCGACTGCATCATGTTTGTCAATGTTTTATCAAATTTCTTTGCCATTTACTTCCATCATTTATAATTGTTGTTTTGATGATATTTGCTACGTATCAATTGTTCTGTCCTGTTACAATTGTTTACTTTCTGATTTAAATCTTCGCTGGATAATTGCTTCCTTGTTGATGAATACTTTATTCGTTTTGGGTATATTGATCTGCATCGTCATCAAGTTGAAAAAAAAAATCCACTTTTCTATGGTCATGTCCTATGTATAGCCGGAAGCTATCTAATGGTTGTATTGCTGTGTATTCCACCAGCCATATTCGATGCGGTCCAAATTCGAAGAAAATTACAGAATGCAACAGCCGTAGCTTTGTTGTCTTGTTCTGAGAGTCAGTATCGACAAGTATTCGGCACCATTATCGCTCAGTTGTTGTATCCTGTCTTCTTTCTAATTCTTCTTTGCTGTTTGTGGTCTCGTAAGGATCAGACTGTTTCCGAATCCACTGATAAAATGATGCTTAGATGTGATCGATTCATCTATGGAATTGTGAATCGATGGGGATATTGTAAAGCTACCATCTGCAGACGACACGTGGAAGAGACTACTGTGGAGCATGCATAATCATCAATCAACAACGACTACCAGGTTGACTGTCATTTCTTTATGAAGAAAACTGCTTGTATATATATATCTATTCATATATTTTAATTCCGATCAAGAGAAATTTTTTTTTAATTATTTATCGAATTTATAATATTATAAAAAGTTCATCTAAGACTCGAAAATGTACTATTACTTATTGAATTTATCCAAAAATGCTGATACTTATCATATACTAACTATTAGAGAAACTACAGTTGACTTCCTATTTTGTATTAACATTTCTCGAAAAAAATTCAAAAAATTCATTTTCTTCATTGCTTATGCTTAGCAGAGAATACAAAGATATTTTTCAAATATTTTGTGTAAGTTTTTTGCTAAGAAATATGTTATTGAAAAACAATCTAGGATGAAAAGCTGTAGGGTCCAGTCTAGTGGATGTTTTGTAATATCTATTTCATTTTTCTCGTCAACCATTTTTCTTTAAAGCAAATTAGTTGTTTATAAGTTGTTGAGTATTATTTATTGAGTCAATATCTTATTAATTTGAAAATACGTCCTCCACTAAGAGTCTATAGCTATTCTCTTGGTCATTATCATTTACAATCAGTG